CCATATTGGATTGCTCATGAAAATAGTCTCTAATGCGCATGCGTCCGGTTTTTCCGCTCTGTCGCCGCAAAGAGGACTAGAGTTCGAGAGGACAGAATAATAAGCCTTAAAATGCGCTGACACAGGAAGCCCAAGATATACATTTGTATCGGATAAATCCAGCTGTGTGTCTATACATGCTGCCTAAGCTTTTATTGCTAGGCTTTAAGCATCCAATATAGATTTCTTAACTTACCACGTTTCGAAGATCTGAAAAACACCTCGAGTAAAATCTCAACAGGGCCGTAGCCACCAATTTCTGATTGGTTCGGTTTTCGAGGGTTTTCAGTTTTTGTTATATTATTTTTTTATTTTTCTTATATTTTTTTCCCGAAAGTTGGTTCGGTTGAAACCGAACCAACCGTACCGGTGGCTACGGCCATGCTGAACCAAAACAACCTTCTGAAGTCACAGACGAGACTTGATCTCGTAGAAGTCTTTGCTAAGACAGTAATAAACCTATTTCATGGACACCTGAATAACTCTCTACATTAGTACAATTATATACACATCTATTTCAAGAAACGTCGGTCAAAGATCTAAAATGGACGATCTGAGACGGAATTTTTTGCGCTTTTATGTTTCCTGTATAAGATACGAAAAATCGCATTTCTAACACAAAGTACTTGCTTTGCAATCTAAAAGGAAACTAACTTGTTTAGCTGCGAATATATCACATTTGAAATGTTTTACTTGATCTGAGATTTCAGATCTCAGACCAACGTTGATCTCTACCGACGTTGATCACCGAACAAAAACATTTTCGGTCTGAATTGTACAATCTGAAATCTGAGAATGAAAAAAATGCTGAAAAAGTGAAATATATTCACAGATGAACAACGTAGTTTACTTTTAAATTGGAACAAATGTGTCGTAGTAGATAATTTTATCACCGTAAATACGAAAGATAATAGACTGACGTTTCGGACGTTAGTCCTTCGTCGGAGTCAATGAGAGAAAGAGAATGATGGAGGGGTTTATATAGTGGTGTAGGGAGAAAACAAACCAATAAGAAAAGAGGAAGTCGAAAAACAAAAGAGAACAAAAGGATCGAAAATGATAATGGTAGGTGAGAAGTGGCTAATTCATTGGCTCGTTCATCCCGTGAATATGAAGCATGACCTTTGGGTTAAAAGTAAGAGTTAATTACCTCGAACGGAGGCAATAAGCCGTATACATCCCGAGGGCCGCAGGCCCKMGGGATGTATAGGCTTATTGCCGACGTTCGAGGTAATTAAGTATTTTATTTATCAGTTGAGAAGGTTTTCTATCAAATGTTGCTCATTATAAATGCGAACGGTCTATATATAGTTATTAACCGGGTTAATAACTATATATTGACCTCGCATTTATAATGAGGGTTATAACAAAAATAAAGCCTTGTGAATAACAAAGAAAACCGTGTCAATTGATAAATAAATGCTATTATTTTTTGTATTTTAGCCAGAAAAAATTCACAGCACAAAAATTCCGTATAGTCTGAGATCGCCCATTGCAGATATCCGACCTACAAACTTTTTTGAAATAGGTGTATACATCACATTAAATTTGGAAGATGCACATGCTGCTGACAAAAAAAAAAAAAAAAAAAAAAAAAAAGAAAAATTACATTCTAATAAACACTGCGCATTTAAGTTCAAACATAACAAAGACAACTTTTATTACTTTGAAGCTCGTGACGATAATTCTCATGTAATAATAATTGAATATAAAGCATAAGAGTTAGAAATAAATTAAAGATTATCTCTGTCTTTTAGCGTTTTCGTCGGATTTTTGAATAGTGAAGGAAATGTGTGAGGAGACAGGAAACTCGGAATTTCTTCCTTACTGGGGTGCCTAAGGCATCCCAGTCGTAAAATGCCTTTGGTCTTTTTTATTATTGGGTTGCATGTGGCAGCCCAGCCCAGTCGTAAAATGCCTTTGTTATTTTCTCTTCTCCGTCTTGCGATAAGTGCATTCCTTCGCATGAGTACCATAAATGGATTTGAATGACGCATTCATAGATTAATGGCTTATAAATTGGCTTAGCAGCTGAGGATGTAATTCTAGGCTTTAGAAGAAATATGATTGAGCAGCCAAAGGAGCTTTCTAGGATTGTAATTCAGATATTCATTCGCTTTTATACAGCTACTCAGTCGGCAGTATTCTGGCTTCCATCGTATGAGTTAGTAGAGCCGAAATATGAAAACACGGAACGCGATATGAAAATATCGATCAGCGAAAAGTAGACCTATGCTTTCCTATCTTTCCTGGCAAAGTTTACTGACAAGAACATTTACTGCACTTGGATCATCATATGCCTGCAAAGGACTAGTGGGTGGTGCCGTGAAGACTTCTGGGTACTATTGTACTATTTTGGTGATTCTGACATAGAACATTGGGACATTTGATCTTGTTGCGTCATGGCAAGTAGTGCGACTTGCATAACGCAAAACTAATTATTTTGTAGCCTGAAAAAGGGCAGAACCTGCAAATATTTTAATATTATGTAGAGAACACCTTAAGGGAGAATATCGTCTTTGACAAGTTAAACGAAATCATTCTTTTCTTTCAACCATTCCATTATCTTTTGACTAACATTGCAACGAGGCCTCTGTGCATAATATAGGCAACCCAGTGAACGCCAATTGGGTGTCTTGTTTTGTGAGTTCCAAATGGGAATCAAAACCTGGATTTTATAGGCAGTTTTCGTCTATCAAACGATACGTACGAAGTATATCAGAAATCTTTAATTTATTTAAGTTTTTTTGAAATATTTGGCTTGTTCTGAAAGAGGAAAATACTCAGGTTTTTGTTTTTGTTTTTTTKTTTTTGTATAGAATGGCTAAAATGATGCCTACGAGTTGCATTCTCGTCCCGTCAATCGTGTCTCAGATAAGGACACTAGTAGAGCTTTGTGTATCCAGCAACTACCGTTAACTTCTGCGATTTCCCCTCTAAAATCTGTTATGTCTTCTTTCTTTGCGTCTTTTTTTAAAACAAAATTAAAGGAGACAATTTATCCCCATGTGAAAAATCAACTGCTCGGATCGGAAGCTCAATGCAAATTACTACAACCGCGTTCGTGATCCTCACTTCATAAACATACCATGACGTCTTGTGATCGGAGTGCGAACACCACTCTCGCAGTAGTAAGAAATCTTCGTTGCATACTCGGCTTAAATGGTGTCAAATAGTGCGCACTGTACGCGAAGTGACCGAGCCAGCTAATATAGATAATGCTGTCGTTGTTTTGGTTTATTGTCTGAAAATTGGATTGCACATACATATTTCTTTTTACGCTGCAATTACTATAACAGGGCCACTTAGACTGCTAGAACCAATCAAATTGCAGAATAAAAACAATACATTCCGGGTAGTGAAGCCAACCAGAAATCAGCAGAAAACAATACCCTATCAACACATCTTTTCATCCCCACGAGAAAATGACGATCGCTTTCTAGTTGAAGAATGATTTTCTATTCGCATTTTCTATCTGCCTGGCAGCAAAGTAATTTATTTCATTGGAAACCCTGTCAGTCTTACTAACGTTTTTCTCTGTCGCAGTTACTGCTGTTACCACTTCAGTCACGCCAGTCTATAGTGCTATTGGTACAATAGAATCAAGTCATACAGTTTCTTCCAGCATACCGACGAGTATAATACCCACACCAACAAGTACAATACAGTGGTATAGTAGTAGTTCAAGTATTGCTACTAAGACTGATTCCGGGGAAAGCACACTTCCTCGTAAGTCACATTATCGCAATTTGTAAATTTGTACCGTGATATACGCACGACAAAGTCTTACGACATGTCACGCAACAATGTCAAAACAATCTGCCATATTAATGTACAAAACATCGAATAGAGCGTATGCAATAGACCTCCTTGGCTCTGACGTCATGTTTTCCCATTTCAGACCACGTGTCATTCCCTAGAGTATCATTTCTTTGTTTAAGGTTTTCGCTCGGTTGCACATGAGAAGACACATGAATATGGATACAGCGCAAACAAAGAATATTATTCTCAAGGGAATGAAACGTGGTCTGAAATGGGACAACATTACGCCGAGCCAAGGAGTTCTATTAAGGTGACTGCCTACTTTTGGAAATTGATTTAAGCTTTTTTCAAAACTTCGATTTTCCAAATTGAAATTTAATGCTGATTCCAAATCTGGAAAGAAAAATAGGGTGTCCCGAGCTCGTTTTYGAGATAATCAGYATTTAATGGAAGCCTACGCACGAGCTTTTGGAGTAAAAATTGCGCCACCGGAAGTGTTTAGAAAAAAATTAAGATTAATAAGATAATAGTTATTTGCAGACTATATGATTGCACGAACGAAGGCTAGTCAATCCTTCTACAATAATACATGGATATTTTCGACAAAAAGACAGAGAGATACATTGATTTGTCATATTTTGTAGTTTCGGTGTTCTTAATAAATCTCATAAAGTCGAACAAAAATCCCTACAAAAATCTATTTTTTCACGTGTTCCTGATTTAAACTTTTCCTAAAATGTTGATATAACCTAGATTTTTAGGAGTTTTTTCGAATGAGCTGTTAAAAAATATAGAGTCCCGTGCAAAATTCGAGGGTTTTGCCCTGTTGAAGCTCAAAACGCGTATGGTTCTTCAATAAAATCTTGTAGATTTTTCAGCGGTTTTTGAGCGCGCGCACATCGTGGTCTCAAATCGAACGTTCAAAAGTAGGCAGCCACCTTAAACCGTGAAGTAAAATCAAGCTAAATACTAACTAACAGTATCTATTTAGTAACTAATAGTTGCTATCACTCAACCAGAACATTCATTGTACAAAGATAAATCTTTTGTTTAATAAATGTTCTGGTTGAGTAATAGTGTTGAGTAATAGCTCCGAATTACTTAACAGATATGTTTAAGAATACAAGAAACATTCATTCCCATAATCTAAGAGGATCTTCTCACGGCTTATTTGTACCCAGACAGTATAGTGAATCAGGGAAACTCAGTTTTAACTACAGAGGGGCTGTTCTTTGGAATAGCCTCCCTGATAATATAAAAAGTGCGACAACATTAAGTAACTTCCGTAAGTCACTGGATGATTTTTTCAGTAATTACAATACGTAATATACTCTGCCAGCAGAGGTACTCTCCCCCTTTAGCTAAATTACCAAGGTGAGGTCGTATTGTGCCTCTGCTGACAGAATATTGAATATAAAGTATTGTTGACATTCTCCATTATCTATCTCTTATGTGTGTATGTATGTCGCTGTTTACCGGTGTGCTAATACGGGCCACCACGTGGTGAAACATGTCACGCAACATTGTGGATGTTTATGGTATGCTTATACGGGAAACAAAGTTGTGCAACATGTCATGCACCAATAATACAGAGCAAATATGTTGCTTCTTTTACCACTAAGCATACAACATGCTTCATAGAGTAGGATAACTTCTTCTTTTTGCAATAAATAATTCGTCTTGAATAGCGGGAATGTAATGCCAAAATCATTCGTCAATCTGCAACCTACGAAGTGACAATTTTGCGCGACATGCTACCTTGAGTATTGCAAGAAACCTGATGAATTGGTCAAACACGAACGCTAACTACTGTACTGATATTTTATACAAGCGCCGACCACGACACCACCAGGGTCTGATCCAATTATGTATCCGTATGGAAGCGAGGCTAATGACACACAGATAACTGGATATTATGATTGGAAATGTCCTGAGATCCAGTTAGATGCAAGAGGCATGGTATTTTTTAGAAGACGACACTACAAACTTTATGTAAGTAGCAATGTCAAGGTGATCGGCGTAAAAGAATATTTCTGAATGCTTAGTAATTACATGTGAGTAGAGTTTGCTAGGTCAGTTTATTCTCAGAGTTCACGCTGGTTTTCCTCGAAATATAACACGCTAAATTTCAATGCAATCTGGGGGGTATAATAGCCATTGTTCTGATTCAGAGCAGCCCAGAAGTTGTTTCAGAGTTCGATCTGTGAGTTAGTCATTCTCTGACTTTAATACGCCCAGGGATTGTTTCAATGTATCGATCAAATTTGGGGGRAAAAGGTTGAATATGAAGAAGTAAGCCTGTTTTAGAAATGACCTTTGCTATTTACAACCAGGCAAGTCTTCCAAAATCTTGAAATAAGATATTCATATTCAAATTTTTTTACTGCTAGGTATGTCGCAACGGAATGATATCATTCATTCATCCCTGGTACCGAAGGTGGCCCAGCAACTTTGCACATCGTTTCTGGTTTGAAGAAGAAGCCATACTTGCACCTTACTGGGCTTTGATTGACAGAGTGTACTCATTTCGTTCTGGCGTCTCAAAAGTGTTTTACCATCTTTACAAGGACAGTGATAAAGATCCTGCAGCGCAAAATATACTAAGAAGGGCAGTGGAAGATGTCAATAAACACACTCAAAACAATATGTTACCTAAGGAATTTACTAATGCAACATTGGTTCTAGTCGTCACGTGGGTCAACATTAGACACTGGTACTCAGGGTGGAGATCTGAATTACGGGATAAGGTAATGTTCCCATAGCAAAACTCTTATCACTCTCAAATTGTGCTAGAAGAGAAAATTACGAACAATGAGGGTAATGCGTGGACATGACATGACGTGACATGTTCAAGCATTTTCATTGGATGAATAATTATCGTGCGCAATGCCTAGTTCAAAGGTGCTGTTAATCTCCACGGCGTGACTCTTTCTGTTTCGCGCAGTCATGCAATTTCTTATTGCATTTGATAGGTTAAAGTGGATGTGCAGTGTGACCGCTGTATGTCGTGACTTTCGTCTTTGTTGGACTTTAGCCAGTACATTCACCATTTATCCCTAGTAGCATGGCTACATGTACCGAGCGCATTGAGATTTTTAAATGCGCCAAAATAACTTATTTATTATCATTGTTATTATTAAAAATAATTCTAATCGCTATCACGCATTCGTAAGGGAATGTGTCGTACCCACATGGGTTCTGCATGGGCTTCCATAACATAATACTAGATCTGCTATTTCAAATGATACACTATACGCAATTCCTTTTTGATTTATTTTAAAGTACAACACATTCCAGGCCGTCCTCATTACAGACAACGTATTCTCTTTCGTCATGTACAACTATCCTAAAAATGGCATTCAGTGGTCTGTTCCTGCTGAAAGGTATCGTGTTTTGAATCTTCTCCAGTTTCGTTTCACTTCTCTTCGAGGCCTTTCTTACGCTTTGCATGTGCGATCACCTCCAGTGGCTCCGGTTAAGGAGATCCAGTATCGCTCTAGCTAGCAGACTAAGGATTAACGCCGAAATTCACATGAGCCGAACCCAATGACATCACAGAAGGCCGCCTTGTTATCCATTGTTTCAATTAGGTTCGGCTCATGTGAAGCTCATAGTTTAACCAGAGTCTTAATAAGTTAGGCGAGTGCACCTTCGGCGCACAAGTGTATACACCGCTTAGTGGACTGTAAACAAAGCGCAGAGTTTGTGCATAAGAATGGCACATAGAGCCAATGGTACCGACCCAATCTCAACTTGCTTTGATATGTCTTGTCTTAGTTAACAAAATTTGTGAATCATTAAGTATTTTGTCAACAGAGAGGATTATAATAGATACTGGAAGTCCAAGGGTCTGCCTGTAGTGGGCTTCAATGCAGGACACGGGAATGACATTTACTACAATCATCCAAGGTAAGTAAATGCGACACTATTTTGCTTAAAAAAAAGAGAAAAAAAGTCAACAAGTAGGGATATTCAATCGCTGATACACGACAAGTAAACGTTACAGGACACGCGGGAAGTCATTGATAAGTTGTTCACATAACAAGTCTGCGCTTAAAATACAACCTAACGGGCATTCTAATGATGGCGATGTTGATAATGATGATTATGACGATGACGATGATGATGATGATAATAAAGGTGTGGATGACAATGACGACGATGTTGATCGGATGACGGCGGCGGTTAATGTGGTGATGACGACGATGAGGATAATGACGATGTTGGTGATTATGGTAATGATAATGTTTACTGTTGTTAACTGTATTATTATTTTTTACTTTACAGGTCTGGTTGCGTAATGGCCGTCGACATCGACCAGATAGAAGGATTGAACATCTTCAAATCACCTGATAGCCATACCATTAAATCTACCCGGAATGGAATACGAGGAAGAGTATTCATTCGTCTTGAAGACTCGCGAGGAGAGGAGGACCACAGGCTTAGATGTGTGAAATGGTACTACCAACAAGGAGATCATCGCGCATTTACGCAGTCATTGCAACCATGTCCTTGCAGTGAGTGGCAAGCACGGAGAGATAGAAGATTCAGGCTTACCACGTGGAGTTGGCCTCGCATTTGCTACTACTCTCGCTTTCCTACCTCATGGGGGTGGGGACAGGAGTGCTGTTACAAGTTTGAGAGAGCACAGGGCAGGTGGGGATGGTGGTGGTGGATAAGCTTTTTAGCTTATGGGTTTCCGGATGGAGGCAACGCGCACAGGTAAATAGACGTACCAACAATTTTTGAATTTCATATTCTTTGGATAGGTGGAACGAGGAAAAGGCAAGGGAGGAAAAAAGGGAAAATGACATTAATCCAAACAGTATCAACCGGAGTAACGTGTTTGCTTTTCAGGTTTCATAAGTATAGGTACCCCACTGAATACCAGAATGATGATAAACAGGCGTATCAAGACTGCTGTATCAAAAGTAGCATGTGCTGGATGTACCAAGAAGTACGGCCATCAGACACGTGTTCACGTTACGTCCCACCGAGATGGAGTGAGTAAAGAATTGCAATGGTGTCACCGTGTTACTGTGTTTGCTCTTTTACTCCGACGAAGGACTATCGTCCAAAACGTGGTGTCGAGATAGTTGAAAAATTTTCTAAAACACGGTGTCTGAGTTTCATTTTTCTTCACTTAACGGTATTTTAACATATGCACTGGGTTATCAAATTTTCAAGAGCAATTGGTTTCTTTATATCAGGATCTTTTTTCCCGATCCATTGTCTCCTTTCTATACACAGGCATCCCAGTGTGCAACATGCGCACCAACTAATCCGATCGTGAAGAGGAATACTCTAATTCCGAGTTCTCTGTTGCTCAGGGTTAGCCTTAAATTTGTGCAGAATATTCCTGTGTTCCAGTGAAGGTCCGTGGAATTTCAAAGTGTTTGTATTGTTGAAGTTTTGCATTCTTTACTTTACCGTTGGTATTTGTTAATATTTAGACACTGAAACGAGGCTAACCTTGAGTAAATGATTCTGTGATCAAAGAACACAGCTGTATTCTGGAAATCGAAAATGGTCAATTGGTTTGTTGCGTTAGATCTAGATCCCAGTTCCTTCGTCTCTAGTCTGTACACAGGAATCCCGCCACAAAAATAAATAATATTAATCCTAATTAACTACTATGATTCCTTTTCAAGGTTGGTTTTGGGGCGACCCTCACTTTGTTACAATGGACAGGAAGAACTACACGTTCAACGGTCTTGGAGAGTACGTCATGTTGGATGCTAAAGATGGTTACTTTCAGTTGCAAGCCCGAACGAGCCTTGCTAAAGGAAATGGTACTGCTACCGTGTTTACTGGAGCTGTAGCCCAAGAGAATAATTCTGTTCCAGTTCAAGTTACCTTGCCGTATGAAAATGGTAAAAACATGGGAAAATATAGCTCATGCTTTTAAATTGTCATCCTCATTTTATTAGTTCTTCTCCATTTCTGTTTTACAATTAACGATGTACGTAATGCATTCCTTTTTTGTCAGAAACGATGGAAGTTCTCGTAGATGGAAAACCTTTTGATTTCAAAAGCCTGACCAGTGATTCTTATGATCTCAATAACGGTTCTATTACGGTCTCCAAGCCTCAGAAACAATGCTTGGAGATGACCTTCCCGTCAGGAATGTCAGTAACAATTTGCGAAAAACAGAACATACTTTCCATCGTCACTGCTGCTCCAGAGTCATTCAAGAACAAGACAAAAGGTCTTCTTGGAACATGGAATGGAAATCCTGAGGATGATTTTACTTTACCTAATGGAACCGTACTCCCACACGATATGAATGGCACAGATATTCACTATAAATATGGAATGGCTTGTAAGTATATGCTTGATATGGGTGGCATGGCGTAGCGCAAGCGCACCAAGATTAGGGAATGCGCTTCCACTTACTAAATATTATTAGCATAAACCTACTAGCATACTATCACGAATCCTGCAATCTGATTGGCTAACGTATTCACTATCTAACCTGTGATAGATAGCGAGTAGCGAAACACAAACAAATGCAAGCTCAAGTTTCGTCGAAATCTCTGCTTGTTCTTTAAGAAATCTTTAAAAATCGTAGAAAATGCTGCATCAAGGAAAGGAATGGAGGTTTTAAACAGTACAGATAAATAAAAGAAGAATTATAGCAATTCTAACACAAAAAAGCGGCCGTCAGTCGGTGAGATTTTCAAGAGCAAAACTTACGACGGATAAACAACTGACTACTGAGATAACGATGTTATTTTAAAAGGATTTCCTCAAAGAACAAAAAAAATTCCAAAAGAAAAATTATTCACACGTATTCAAGAAGAATTTTAAAACGTTAAGAACAGACGAAACAATAAAGAAAGTTCAAGTTAACTGACAAGAGTCTTAAGCGAATTGTATTGAAACATGCAATGGCTTTGAATAATCTGACAACAAAATATTTGTAAACAAATCTCAGTTTGTCGCTCATTAATTAGAAAAATGATCCCAAGAASTGATAAAAAGGAAAACAATCTTGGAAAGAGAGTTTTGAGCGTAATAATAGAGACAAAAAGCTATGAAAATAAAGCAAGTTTAAGCTTATATATGCGTTAAGACATCGAGTCCAGTTCGCAAAGATGAATAAAAACAGTGCCGCCGTCGTCAGTAAAGTTTTCAGTGTCATTTTTTTGTTTTCAATACTATAATATTAGCTAGTAGGTTTATGCTAAAACAATTAGACTACTCGCTCTCGTTTTCCATGATTCACATAGTCTATTTGGCGCTACGTACCTCACCGACTATCTATTGACTCATAGAAAACTCGACCTCGTAGTCCAATTGTTAATTAGCACTGCTCATAGCGCTTTCAACGGATGACATCACAGTTGTGCATCATGGGAGTGAAATGCGGACAAGCCAAGCCATACGCACATGTTGACATGTACGTCGTTGCAACAATGTTTTGTAGTCTTATTGTTTCCAATTCATGTAAGAACTATGGTTTTTCGACTTATATTCTCTCCCCCCCCCCCCCCATGTAGTGGAAACTTTATTTGCCATGTTTGTCATAATTTGAATCCCACATGGACTGTGGGGACATGGACTGTGTAGCGGCTGCCAGAGGCGCCTTCACGTGCTTTCAGTTCGACCCCGTTGACCTGCGTTTTATTAATTTAATTTTTTAAATGAACTACATTGAAATAAACAGACAATAGATGCACATAAAACCAGGGAACGAAAGATTCTAAATTATACTTTTCTAACAATATCTTTTTACCCACTTTCAGGGCAAGTTACCAATGAAACCTCGCTATTTACGTACAAAGAAGGTGAAAGCTCCGACACGTTCCTCAATAAAACGTTCCGTCCGATGTTTATAGAAGAATTAAAGTTTTACAATGATTCGCTGAAAGTAGAGGCTGAAGCGAAATGTCAAGGTGACGTAAATTGCTTGTTTGATGCGGCATCGACTGAAGACGTGGAGATAGGACTGAATACCAAGCAGCTGAGATCACAACTCGTCTATGACTCCAAGAAAATGAGTAAGTTCAGTAATTCTTACAAAAGCGTTCTGCAATACAAAGTAAAGTAATAAAATTTAAGCAACTTTTCTTGCGAGGATGACACTTGAGAGTCGCAAGGGATGAACTAATTTCGTCTCCATGTAACGCCTCTAAGTGAGCGGGGACCGCCATTTTACGTGGTCATCCGAGCCACGACAAATGCTGGTCTAAGCATTTGTAGGTATCCTTAGAGCTAGAGCAGCACCTTCTACTCATT